TGCAGCTTGGTTAGTGTCAGATTGTTATCTGATAAAGTTTGCTACTAGTACCTGAGAACAAAAGGTCTGGCACTTGACAATCAAGTTGATAAAATCACAAAACACCTGTAGAAAATAGAGTATACCCTGTACCTGCCCAACATTGATTTGTTCAGATTCTTGACTAAGGGGTGCGTTACAGGTGTCAAGGGCCAAGACTTGAACTTAGGGGTTTGGCATGTCACTGGGCATTACCCCCGATTTCTGTCCAAATCTAATAAAGCCTCAGTTGCTTAACTTTCTCCAAATTTCCAATATCTACCGGTTGTGTTGTTTAATGCTTGGGGTCTCTTCTCTGGCGGCGGTTAATTGGGGACACCTGTGCGGCCTGTCAACGCACCTAGATTCACTTTTGCCGGTGCCACATTTTCAATTGCCGTAAATATCAAATTCATGAATAGAATAAGGAAAAATGACAGTTATGAAAAAATGTTTGGAAGTACCTGTCACCTTCGCCACAGTAACCATATGGGCTGTGATGCCCCCCCACCACAGGCGACACCTTGCGGAGCAAGCGTGCGTAATCAAGGGTGCAACTGAAAATAACCTTGACGCGCGACCTTATTGATCTACACTTGAATAATAATAATAATAATAATAATAATAATAATAATAATAATAATTTGTTTAGGACATTTAAAGCAAAAAAATCTTTATTATGTGGACGTTCTGTCCAGCTCCCAGCTGGTAATGCATTTTATTTTGTATTTGCTTTAGCTGCTTTATTTAGCAATGTTCCAATATCAAATATTGTGTAATGTAAACACTGATATTTGATGTGGGAAAAATGTCACACAGACGAATATCGGCGTGTTTTAGCCCGTGATTTCTACAAAAATCAATTACCTCATAAGTAAGCCAACAGAAGTATTTTCTTATAGTATATTATTTTATCTATTATTATTGAAGATTCCAACAGTAACCAAGAAGTATTGTGATTTCCCTCATGGTATGAACTTCATAACAAAATTCCTAAGTTTACGAGTTGGGTCGATCTACGAAGAACGATAGTTTCATTGAGAATGAGCCCTTAAACCTTTACGAACACCTTTTAAGAAAACCACAGTCTGAACGATATCAGTTGGTGCTGTTAAGGCGATGCGTTCGCATTTCCATCATAAATGTTTTATCACTCTCACAATTAGTTTTGCCCTCACTCTCTTCCAGTTTTCAGCATGGTATGAAGAACACAAAAATACGTTAGAACAGTCCGAGTGTGAACGACACGAGAAACAAATCAAGCTGATTGGCGATACGTGTCGCCTGTATGAGGAGGAGACACCAGAGGATACTGTGGAGGTCAAGAAACAGAGACTTGCCAAAATTATGGCCGTTAGTCAGGAGGTGTGTTCTGTTAATAATAAGGTTCTTTTTTCTTGTTTTTTCTTTCTCTCCTCTAATTATTATTATTATTATTATTATTTGTTTTGGTTGGGGGGGGGGGGGGGGACATCTCTCAGGGACATTGTTTGTGTTAGTGTCATGTACAAGAAAGTCCACAAGAAAGGCCACTGTGATACGTTGTAAAGCTGAGAACACCACCTGATACAGGTATCTCTATACGCTTCTGCTGAATTATAAAAAAGGAACTGTGATAACTGTTTTATCTAAATACGTAAAAAAGTCACATATTTTAAAGATAAATTACGCGTCAACCGAGAGAAGTTCAGGTTTATGAATGTTTCAACAATGCATTGAAAATGCTCCTCTTAGGAAGGGTGATTTCAAATACCACTTTCATGCCTTTATTATGGAATCATTGACATGCTATGTATTTTTGATTACATGCTTGGCAATGCTGATGTTTTTTTCAGATCGGTGCCCTTGGTGACCTTCCCCCAGAAGTGAAGAAGGATATGCCCCAACCTAAATTTGTAAGTACCTGCCAAATCAACATCCCCAGAAATGCACTGCATGACGTCACGCCTAGCCCACTGCGCATGCGTACATTTTTAATGAGTTGCTAGATTGCCATAGGAAAATGAATGGGTTCGCGATTCGTGGGTAATTCGTGAGAATTGACAAACTAACGGCCTGATGCCGATAGACAGCAACGCTGTGCTATGCTTCAAGCAACTCCTGACCAAATATCGCTAGGGTTTTTAAAAAAATTCTGTTGTACACACGTACTAAGAAGTTTGCCGTATATTGCCTAGACTACCCTCAGCAAAACGCGAATATTTTCAGTTATAATGATTTTAGACGGTAGATTCACTCAGAAACAAAGGGAAATTAATTCGTTGCCGATAGCACCAGCTGAT